TGCTAAGTCGCTTCAGTCGTGTCTGACTCTCTGTGACCCCATAGACAGCAGCCCACCAGGCTCCTCTGTCCCTGGGATTCTCCAGGCAAGAATACTGGAGTGGGTTGACATTTCCTTCTCCAATTCTGAGCTGCTAGGACTATCTTATTCAAAAAAGAGTCAAGGAAGGTCATTAAAGAAAATTAGCTGAAAGTGTTATAAACACTGGTTAACTCATCAATGCCTGATCATTTCAAGTTCCCATTTTTGTACACCCAGATATGTTTTCTTGCCTAGAGAATCCCTGGGATGGGGGAGCCTGGTGGGCTGCCATCTATGGGGTTGCACAGAGTCGGATGTGACTGAAGCGACTTAGCAGCAGCAGCAGCAGCAGATATGTCCACCTCAGTTTAAAAAAATCAAAGTGCACCTACACATATCATCATAAACCATTCTCAACTGGATCAGCTGCTGTGATAGATGATTCTTTTCCTAATTTCCCCTTAAATGACAAATGTCTTCAAAAAGTGATCTGTACTCACTGGTGACATGTTGTCTTCACTGATTTTTTTCTATGCTGGATTTTCCCAATATCCTACACTGATCTGGCTCTAGAAGCAGTTTCACGAAAACAGCTTTTTTACAGTCAAATTTCTTTGTTGTAACAAAACCTTTTGCTCAAGTATAAGTTCCCCTTATATTGTTTCTATACCTGTTGAGATTTTCTTCCAGTTTTTCAAATCCAGCTTTTCACTTTCTTGGTTCTCCTCCTTTTTCTCTTATTACTCTGTATTTTCTCCTGTTCTGATTCTTCTTTCACTTCAGTAGGCATCTTTGGGGACTGTTGCTCAGCCCATGCCCCACTTTGACAATCTCTCCTATTTCTTTCTCTCTCTCTCAGGGATTGAGAGCATCCATAAAGGACCATGTACAAATGGGGTGGAATAAAGAGCTACAGAAAAAGAGAATCATCAAGCAGATAGAGAAAAGACAAGTCCAGAGGCCACATGACCCCAGAGGAGAAAATGGGAACTGCTTCATGCCTAACTGCTACATCCCAGTTCTAATCCTCTATTAGGATATGCTGTGCTTCTTATTCTAGGATTCTATGAGCTACCACTGTCTCCTCCAGAGAAATTTCCCTCTTTGGACTAAGTTAGTTGAGAGGCTCCTGTTTCTTACATTCCCTAAGTCTGAGATGACATCCCCATCTCTAAGCCACACTCCTGTGCACTCTCCTTTCTTCTACATGAAACCCTAATCATTTGGAAATTAAAAAAAAAATGCTCACCACCTTTGAATTGGTGACTCTTGAACTTATGTCTCTAAAGTATGAAATTTCTTTGTTTTCCAAAGGAATCATCAAAAGGAAGGGGTAATTTACTGAAGTACTTAAGAGTGTGAGCTCTGGGGTCAGACTGTCTAAATAGCCTGATATCTTTAGTTTCCCCATCTATAAAATGGGAATAATAGAAGTAACTGCCTTATAGGAATTTGTGAAAATTGAGGTAATGTAATAAGGCTTTTGAACTATGGTATTGGAGAAGACTCTTGAGAGTCCCTTGGACTGCAAGGAGATCCAACCAGTCCATCCTAGAGGAGACCAGTCCTGGGTGTTCATTGGAAGGACTGACGCTGAAGCTGAAATTCCAATACTTTGGCCACCTAAAGCGAAGAGTTGGCTCATTGGAAAAGACCCTGATGCTGGGAGGGATTGGGGGCAGGAGAAGGGGTCCACAGAGGATGAGATGGCTGGATGGCATCACCAACTCGATGGACATGGGTTTGAGTAAACTCCGGGAGTTAGTGATGGACAGGGAGGCCTGGCATGCTGCAATTCATGGGGTCACAAAGAGTCGGAAACAACTGAGTGACTGAACTGAACTGAACTGAATAAGGCTCTTAGAAGAGTACTGGACTCACTGTAAACCTGCTTTAAATATTGTTGTCATGCTATCATTTATAGCAACACATTTCTATTTGACTTTCCACAAGAATTTTAACATGTCCATCTCAGAATTTCTCAGCTTCTTTCCAAAGACAGCAGACTGCATAACTTCCTGGTCCTGTCATTAGCTTCTCCATTCAATCCAACAGTCCTGGAATTTGACCTCAGGTCTGTTTGACTTAAGAGCCTGTGCTTATTCCATTAAATCAGTCATTCCCAAATTTGACTGCATCTCCGATCCCAAAGATATTTAACAGAATCTTCTAGATTGGGGTTTGAGAATTTGTATTAAAAAAAAAAACAACTCTTCAGTTACTTCTAGTGGATCTGATCATTGAATCAGAGTTTGGGGGATTACTTTGGATTCTGTTACCTTGTTTTCACTAACATTATCTATAAAATGGATGCAATAAATATCTATTTCATAGAATTTTAATTTAATACACATTGATTCTTTACTGTGCGCCAGGCATTGTACTAGGGGCTTTCTGTCTATTATCTCATTTAGCTCTCACAATGATCTTGTGAAGTAGATACTAGATTATCTCTATATGGGGCTTCCCTGCTGGCTTAGATGATAAAGAATACCTGCTATGTGGGAGACCTGGGCTTAATCCCTGTGTTGGGAAGATCTGCTGGAGAAGGGAATGGCTACCCACTCCAGTATTCTTGCCTGGAGAATTCCATGGACAGAGGAGCCTGGTGGGCTGTAGTCCATGGGGTCACAAAGAGTCGGACACAACTGAGTGACTAATACTTCTACTATCCCTATATGGCATACAAAAGAGGTTTAAGTTACTGGATAGAAGCTGTCTACCTAGCAAGTGTGGAGAGCCAGCATATTAATTGCTGGGGCCAATGTGACGTGAAGATTATATTAAATAATGTGGGCATCCAGTTCTTATTTGGACACTTTCTGTGACAAGAACTCAACTTATCAGGGCAGAAGAGGCTCTAGTTGTTAGAAAATTGAGTCATTCTAGAATTTCTACCCACAGGTCCCCCTTTCACCTTGTGGGGTCCTTAAAAGTAAGTCCAATTTCTCTTCCATCTGACAGCTGTTCAAATGTATGAAGACAGTTATCTTGTATCCCTGGGGCAAAACCTTCTGCTTCCTTTAATCTTTCCTCCTATGACATAGTTCCTAGCCTTGTTACATCCTGGTCCCTCTCCTGGGCCTGTGGATGGTTTTTCTTTGCCAAGCCTTCGTTGGAGATGATACTCCACATGCGTAATGACCACCACTGGGCACTATAACCCCTTCTTGCTTTACATGTCAGACTTCTATGGATCCACGTACTGCATGGCCTTGGGTCAGCTGGTTAAACGCTGAGTTTCAGTTTCCTCATTAAGAGGGAGGATACAGGGAAAGCGCTGAGCACACAGTAGATGTGGCACAAATGTCTACACCCCTACTCTTCCTTCAGGTGGACAAGGGTTCATTAATCAGCATCTTTAGGTAATGGTTACTTAACAAGTTTCTTATCCAACTAATTACATTAGAATCTAGATTTATAGTTCCTCATCTTGTCCACAACATCTTGTTAAGTACATTGCTAAAATCCCACTTAAATAGTGTGGTCACCTCATGAAATCAGGGCAGAGACAAAGTAAACAGCAATCAAATTCCACCTGCAGTTAAACTTCAGAAAAGTAGTAAGGTACTGATGAAGTTGGTTAACCTTGCAAATGGTCACCATTCAGGCCACAAGCATGTACTGGACAACCACCATGTGCCTGGCAGTGAACTGAGGACAGGCTATGGTTTGACAATATTTAAAATGCAGTTTCTGTGTTCAATGAACAAGGCTAGAAATCTAGTGTCTTAGAGAGTAGTCTGGGTCACAAGATTGAGCTAAGTGATTTAGATCAATTTGTTCCCATATGCAGTCAACAAACATGCTAGGAATCAGGCACTGCCCCCATCCCTCCATCTCACTCACAGCTTCAAAAAAGAAGACGAGGTCCCTTCATTTAGGGAGTTTAACATCTAAAAGGGAAGGGAGCTCTGTGTTAAAGGCCCTCTGTTAAGGGCTTGAGATGCAAAAATAAGATTCTTCGTCCTCTCAGTACTCAAGTTGTATCTTGTTACGAAACGTTTATTTTCTGCAACTATTTGTTTCCTTCCGTCTCAGTCCTTGGACAGCTTTTCTACGGTAGAAACAGCCACTGGGAAGTTGTCTGCCACACAGTGGTGCGGCCACTGAAAGGAAAAGCACTGGAATCGCTCCAGGCTTGAGTTTTCTCTTTTGAACAAGAAAGACAGCTCCAATCGGATGCTTGGAGGTCAGGACGAACGAAAAGAACGTAAGAACACTTGAATGGAAAAACCTTCTAGAAATACCAAGTATTTCTTCTTCGTTTGGACTTTGGCAAACCAGGATATTTTGGGAAGGGTCTGACACTATGTTCCTAAAACTGGTTTCCTAGATGGAGTTGGAGGTAGGGGAACGAGGAAATGTTGCTTTAGTCAGGATGCCCCGAGTGAAAAAGGGCAAGGAAGAGGAGTGAGATACGTGACCCAGAAGCAAGTCAGGAACCTAGAGAAGAAGGACATCGCAGGCGACTGCAAAGAGTGCGGCGTCTGGACCCGCAGTGGCCAAGGCTAACGGGAGAGCAGGGGAAAGACAGAGAACAGAGGCGAGGAAATCCAGGGAAAACGCGTCGATTGGTCCTCTCCTTGGGGCGTGTGCTTCTGTGCGCCAAACGATTGGTGGCGGGAAAGTAGCAGGTAAACCGGCCCTCGCCGCCTCGCCATTGGTCAGCGGCCTCTCTTGATGCCACACAACTGGCTATCAGGCCGCCGAGCCGCGCGCGGATTGGCCGGGGGCGGCCGCCGAGACTATCTCTCTTCGGGCTCTAGGATTGGCTGGAGGGAAGAGGCAGGTATCCGGGCTCCGCGACTCCTCCATTGGTGGGCGGGGAAGGGGGGTTGGGCACAGCGATTGGTGGGCGGGGGGCCGGGCCTGGGCCGGCGGGGAGCGGATTGGTCGGAAAGTAGGTTAGTGGTGCGACATTTAGGGAAGGCAGAAAGTAGGTCAGGGACGGAGGTGCCTGTTTACCCGCGCCGGACTCACCGCCGCCGCCGCCGCGGGATCCGAGTGGGGGCGCGGGCGCGGGCGCTCCCGGCGAGCCACGGTGAGTGTCGGGCTGGCCGCAGCCAGCGGTGCGGCCGCGGGCACCCCGTCGGGGCCGTTAGCACCCTGGTAGGCTCAAAGCCCCCGCCGCCGCCCGGGGCGCAGCCCGGCCGCCGGGGAGCCCTGCCCGACGTGCCCGCTGCCGGCCTTAAAGGGCCCGTGCCCGCTCCCTGCCCCCACCCGGGCCGCGGGGAGGCTGCGCCCCTTAAAGGCGCCGCACTCGTCCGCCCCCATCCTCCCTCGCGGGGGCTGGCGCTGCGGACTAGAACGGGCAGAGGTGCCGCAGGCACCCTTAAAGGGACCGGGAAAGAGTCCGCGGAAATACCCATCTCCCCTCCGCGGGCATCGCTACCTGAAGGGGGGGTGGGGTGGGGGTGGTGGGGGTGGTGGTGGCAGGAGCAGCCAGCTGCCTCTTAAAGGGACAGCTCCACCCTTTGGGATCAGTGACCCGGCTGAGGGCTAGTCCTAGGATGTATCCCCGGAAGGTTCAGGGATCCCCGAGGGGACCATCCTTGACGGCTGCACTCCAAGGGCGTTGGGCTAGAGATGCAGCTTCTGCCCTTCCTCCTTCTCCCTTCTACTTTCCTTTCGGGAGCCTACTGGGGTGGGTGGGGGCGGGGAGGGCGTCTACGTCGGGCTTGGGGAGTCCGAGCCACCCTCTACCCCTTCGGCCCTTTCACGGGTGCTGGGGCTGCACCTGGGTATTCCCGGCCCGGGGATGCGGCCGACCCCAGCTTGCGAACTTCGGTCCGGCCTGCGCCGTCTGGGTCCTGGGCAGCCCGAGGAAGATCCCCGTGGGTCTGCGAGCAGGTGTTCCACGACAGGGGGAATGTCACCCGGCGCCCAGGTGTGGGTTCGCCGGCCGCCCTGGAGTCCTGGAGACCCGCGAAGGGCGCAGCGAGGCTGGCCTTAGCACCGGATTTGACAGATGTCACAGAAAAAGCTTCCCGCTCGAGATTGTCGGGCGTTGACAGCCTAGAGAGCTCTCGTTTGCTCGGAGGAATGAGTGGAAGAATAGAAATTAAGGCCGACCTTGTGGGGCTCGAGTCAGTCACCCCGAGGGGTCGTGGGAGCCGGCTGCAGAGCCGAGGGCAGACGCGGGGAAAGGAAAGGCTGTACTGGCTAGAGGCGTCTGTTGTCAAGTTGGTGCTGGCCGGTGGAGTACCAGGCTGTGCCCCCTCACCTCACGTTTCTCAATCTCCTGTTCCCTTCTCTGCTTTGGCCCCTTCCGATCACCTAGCCTTGTTTTGTCTCTTCGCGGTTGTGGTCTCTTCTCCCTGCTTGCATAGCTACTCCTCGGCAAGGAATTATTAGCCAAGTTTTATCACTTAGCTTCCAGAAACAAGATTCAAAGAAGCATTTCTTGACTGTACGTGTATTTCCAGGATCTTCGTTTAAAAAAAAAAAAAATCCATAAAAGCTGCCCATTAGCTGCATCTAGTTTCCCACAACGCTTGCTTGTCATTTGTCCTTCTGACATCCGCCGCTGTTCCCTCTTTTAATCTATTTTTATGTGACAACTATTATTTTAATTCTTCTTATCCCATTGATATCAGGATCTGTCAATTTGGGTTGGTAGAGTTTTTAATTAATGTGCTGGTTGAATCATGAGCTTAAAATAATCTTTGCTGCTCCAGAGCAGTTTTGAATAATCTCATGCTCTCCGTGCTTGCAAGATTTAAAAAAAGAAGAAAAAAAAAAATCACTGCTGTTAAATTTATTTCCATATCAATGAAACTCCAAAATGTTTTCTTAATGCAAAGTTCAGTCTTTCACTCCATGATCTATTACTGAGTTCACTTTATTGCTAAGTCTTTAAAACACTTTGTTGAACATATTTGGAAGGCTTTAAAATTTCCCGGGCAGGATTTGAAATTGCCTGTGTATCTAAAGCTGAATCTGTAGACGTATTTTTTGTTTTGATTGTAGATGCAGCTGGTGAATAATATAAATAGGTTAAAACTATAGTTAAATGTATACCTTGTTCTAACCCCTAAGGTTTAGAAAGAGGGAGAGAGAAAAGAGCAGGGGTGGTGGAAGAGTGCTAGCCTGAGAGTTAGAATCTCCTGGTTCCAGCCCAGACTTGGGTTTTTATGACTGTGCCACTTGGGGCAAGTCACAGAACCCTTCTGGGTTCTACTTGCCTCAGATGGAAAGTAAGGCAGGAGAACGAGGTGATCTCAACAGTTCCTTCTGCTCTAAAGTTCTGTGCTTCTCTAAATATTTAATACGGCTGAATTCGGGTTGGTATTTACCTGCTGGAACCTCCAGAATATCTGAGCTGACGTCCTATTTTCATAGGAAACTTAAACAGATCAACAGATGGTGTTTTAAAGAATCCATTTCAAATGATTTATAAAATGATGACTATTCAGGAGTTTGTCAGCTATTTGCAGAAGAGCTTTGCCTACCAAAGAGAGGAAAAGGAAGTGGCCCTACTTTCAGATTTATCACTTCATACCAATGATCTATATGCCATTTATATATACTAAACAAGGGACAGGCACTGTAGAAAGACTCGTTAACAAAATGCATATGAATATGTAAAAGCTAAATATTCAGTATGTCTCTTTGATATAAGGGCTGCCTTCCTTTTGTGGGCTTTCTTCTATTTGTGATTCTATCATCGACTCCCATGGTGGTTGGAGAAAGTCAAATATTAAAGGAACATTTTCTGCCTCAAGTAATATTACAGTCACAGGCAGTGATTTTAGTTAACATCATGGTAGCAAATGAATGGAAGTAATTGTTTACTTCCTTTTTAAACCTTGAGGTTTAATTGAAAGGCTGGAAATGCAGGCATGTCACCCTTCTCCACAGTCTTTTCTCTCCTCATTGCCGCTTCATCATAACACTCAGACTTACTCCTAACATCCACCCTAGCTTTCCTTCTCCTCTCTCTAAACAAGACCTGCTCTGACTTAAGCTTCCTCAGCATCTCTTCCTTTCTGCTCAAAATGTCTTGTCTCTTTCCCTCATCTCTCCTCCTCGCCTCTTAGTTTGGAAAAAGCAGGTGAATTTCTTTCCTGTTCCCTCTTGGAGCCTCTGGGCAGGAGCCTGGTCTCTGGTAGCAGGACCTAGGACCTGGGTTGGGTGGTGTGTCCTTGGACAAGTACTGGACTCCTCTGACCGCAGGCTCCGCCTCGGTGGTGTAGTGAAGGTGCCAGCCTGTCGGAGTCCCTAGATCAGGGCAGCTGATGTGTGTAAAATGCCTGGCACACGGGAAGCCCTCCCTCAGTCCCTTCCCAGCACTGCCAGGGTGCTGTCACTAGAATTTCCTTCGTGCTTCTTTCTCTCAGCCTTCTCACCCACCCGAGAAAAGCCCTTGACTTGACTGATGAGGGAAGGATGGAAGAGGAAGAAGCAGGCCTACTGTGGGCTGCTCTGCAGCAGGCAACTTTCACACGTGCGCACTTCTGCTCCTGGGACCCTCTGTCTCTCTCTCCCCTCCCTGCCCAGCAGCCTCTCCCAGGGCTCTGAACGTTGACCCCCTCCACTCTCATCGGCTCCATCCTTAGCTCCTGCCCTCTGGCTTCTTTCTCTACCGTCCTTATTTCTTCTCATATATCTCCAAAAACTTTTAAGTCTTGAATTCCAGGCACCCAATCTTAGTCCTCAGTTGTTGATCTTGGCCATTTTGCAGCTTTTACCCACTTGTCTTTTCTTCCTTCTTGAAATCCCTTTCTCCCTCAGCCTCTGGGTTTTCTTGGTTTTCTTCCTACACACCCTAAAGGTAGGTGTCTGTCCAGGTCTCTGCTCTTCACACTGGCTTTGTTGGCTTGGGTCCCATTTCTTGTCCTGATGTGTCTCTCCTGCTTCAGCTGCTAGCAGGTCCATCGTGGATATTAACTGCAACCTGTTGCCAGCATCGGTGGCCTTGGCGTAACAGGTTACAAACACCTTGCAAACATGGTCTCATTCATCCTCAGGATAGCTATACCCCTTCACCATCAGGCTGTCCTGAAAGGGACTTTGGTTGGGTGGCTAAAAGTGCAGACTTTGGAGCCAGATTTTATATCCTTACTGGTTTTATGGCTTGTGGTCTAGTTGCTTTGCTCTCTGTCTTGGTGTCCTCATCAGTAAGAATGGAATTACTCTAGTCCTTGGGCTTCCTTGGTGGCTCAGATGGCAGAGTCTGCCTGTAGTGCTGGAGACCCAGGTTTGATCCCTGGGTCAGGAAGATCCCCTGGAGAAGGAAATGGTCACCCACTCCCGTATTCCTGCCTGGAAGGTCCCATGGACAGAGGAGCCTGGCAGGTTACAGTCCAGGGGGTCGCAAAGAGTCAGACACGACTGAGCGACTTCACTTTCACTTTCTAGTCTTTACCTCAGGGTGCAGTATGGATTCAGTGAGTTAAAGAATGAAAAATATATAAAGCTCTTCATGAATCATAGTAAGCATTCATGGATATCAGTTTTGCTGCTCCTTTTTCTGTTTCTATACCCAGCCTACCTGGCTGTGTGCTATAGGACTCTCTGCTCCCTAGACCACCCCTTGGCCTGTTCTGTGCCTCAACCTTCCCTCATCCAAATCCTACTCTTCTTTAAGCTCCAGCTCAAATGCTTAGTCCTCCTGGAGCTATTCTTCATTTTGTTTTTCTTCCTCTCTTGCTGGGCAGCCGTGTCACCCCAGCCCTTGATCTAGCTAGCGCTAATTATTTTAGGTACTGCTGCATCCCTTATCATGTTGGGCTGTCTCTGGGAATATCTTACCTGCAGGTTGCAGGCCAATCAATTTTGGGGAGTTATCTTGGTTTCCCCAAAGTAGAGGCACAGAGAGCTTTAGGACATGTTTGTCCAATCCCAGTGAATGATCTTGAGGAGGAGGAGGAGATGGGGTGGGGTAGGCACTCAGGGAATATGCACAAGGAGGGAAGGAGGGACACCTGTGGAGAGGTGGGGTGTGAGATGAGGGAGCGAAACAGGGGCACGAGTGGACGTGGCCATGAGTAATTAAGTCCAAGTGGAAGGAGGGATTGAGTTGGGGACCTACAACTGGGGAAATGAAATTGGATAAGCTTTAGTCATCTTTGCTTCAGGAGAACATGGAGTGCTGGCATATGATGGGAAATGATTTTTACATTAGTACATGCTGTCCTTTTAAGTAGGATAAACTCATGTTTATCCAGCCTGGTTAAAGAAGGGGATGGATGGTCTGTCTAATATTCTGGTTAATACTCTACCCATTAGATTTTGTACATATGCTAAGTAAAACATTTACAAGTGTTTATGTGTTCAACTGCTGTTTGAAATGTGTGACCTGTGCAAATTAGTTAGCTCCTTTGAGTCTGATTTACCTCATTTGCAAAATAGAAATAATAATAATGATGGTAACGGCAGCTAATGTTTATTGAACATTCTCTGAGTGCCAGCAGATATGTTAGTCACCTTATGTTTATTAACTTGTTCAATCCTCCTAATAATCCAGTGAGGTAGGTAGAGCTATTATCCTTATTTTACAAGTGAGGTGGCTTTGTGAACTGCCTAGCTGAGATGGGGCTGGGCTGGATTTGTGGCAGGGGAAGGGGGAGGGACACAGTCTGCTCTCTAACCACGGTGGTGGATGCCTGCTGGATTTAATCAGTGTCCAGCCAAGCAGGCCCTCGGCGATTGGTAACCAGTCTTACTGTTGATGGGCTTTCTTGGTGGCTCAGATGGTAAAGAATCTGCTGGCAAGGTAGGAGACCTGGGTTTGATCCCTGGATCGGGAAGATCCCCTAGAGGAGAGCATGGCAACCCACTCCAGTATTCTTGCTTGGGAAATCCCATGGACAGAAGAGCCCAATAGGCTACAGTCGTGGGACTGTAAAGAGTCAAACATGACAGAGCAAGTAGCACTTTCACTTTTCACTTTCACTTCTTGTTGACAAACGTGGTGCATGCCTCCTCTTAAACAGGACTGAAGTCCTCTGAGGGGGGGCACAGGTGCACATTTGGATGTTACCCGACGGGCACTTACAGGGGCTTGTGGGCATGCTCCTCACGTTCTCTTGTGCATTTCTGTGTCTCCTTCTTCCCTCCTGCCTTTCTGTGGCATTGCCCTGACATGGGCCTCATGTGGTTCAGTCAACCCCTCCCCAGGCAGCTTGTGAGAGATGAACAGAACTCATTACCCACCGCTCCCTGACGTGGCCATCACTGGGAGAACTTTTGTAAAGTCTCTCACCTTCCCCTCCTCTCCCCAGCGCCTTACCCCAAAGACAGATGTCCACAGCCTTAATGTGTACGTATATATAGATAGATTTCTTTAATGCCAGTTGTTCCCCGAATGCATTTAGATAGTAAGGAAAATGTTGTTTTATGTCAAGAACCTGTTACATAAAAATGTGTTATATAATGTTCAAATATATACTGCACAGTGAAGTTAAATACTATTTTTTTCCCCCAAAGAATAAAAAGACAGTAAACACAGGCTTACTGAAGGTAATTAATCTCAGATGTGAAAGGCATGGAAAGACATGCCCTGTCCTTAGAGTTATCATTTTGAACCTCTGTTCCCCTCCTTGAATGCTCCAAGTATAGACAGGACGTTTGGGAACTTGACCCAAATCTGCCATGGAATGCTACTGGGAAATACTCTGGAAGTTGTCTTTTTTTTTTTTTAAACTGGGGGAGTGCTGCTTGCTCACTTACGTCTCTCTCATGTCTAAGCAGAGAGGGGTGGCTCTTTTTGTCCCCGTCCTGTTCAGACCATCAAGGTCATCCTCTAAGCAGTTTTCTGCTTCCTTCAGTTCCTCCCACATGATGTATCCAACTTTGCCTCCCAGGAGCAGCCCTGCTGCCAGTGGCCTGTCGTTGACACCCCTGTGTCCTGTTCTCCAGGCTCTGCAGAGTCTGACTGTGTTCCCCCTGACCAGCCCTCCCCCCCCCCCATTCCCACACCGAGCAGGGTGCCAGTTCAGTTCTGCTTGTCCCCGCCCAGGCCACTCCATGCCCTACTCTCTCCTGCTGTCTGTCTTCTCTTGGATTCTCCCTTGACTAGAGAGGCCTCTCTTCTCTCCCCCAGCCTTCCCTGACACTCTCTTCTTTGTGAAGCCTCCTTGGATAACATTTGTCCCTTTTGCTCTTTCTTTCTTTTTTACTTTGGATTGCCAGCCATTCATTCAGAAGCATTGGTACTACATAATTAGCATATTGATCATATTGATTTCAATCAGGATGGCCAGTGCTCTCATTTTTTAGTTGCTTCATGAATAATTATCTTGTCCTTACTTCCCCACCCTGCACCCATACTCACTCATTCAGTGAAGTTTCTTGGATGCTTACCATGTGCATCGCAGTGTTTCAGGCATGGGAGATACCACAGTGAACAAAACAGAATCCTAGGGGGAGGAGACAGATCATAAATACCTAAGCATGTTACCTCCTTGTAGTGATAGATGCTGGGTAAGCAACCACAGAGAGTAAAACAGCAGTGATGATGAAGGAGGTTGCTGTCGCTGGGTCCTTGGGTGATGTTAGAGCTCAGCTAAAGGAAGATACGGGTAAAGTACCTCAAGAAGAGGGAACAACCAGTGCCAAGGCCCTGAGATTAGAAGCACCTTGATTGTTTTTGAAGAAAGTACAGGCCAGTGAAACTGGATGATGAGTTCGAGTACAGATGTTTTGTCTTCCTTCTAATCCTCAGCCCAGGCTTCGCTGGTGGTTCGGTGGTAAAGAGTCGGCCTGCCAATGCAGGAGGCACAGGTTCGATCCCTGGCTTGGAAAGATCCCCTGGAGAAGAAAATGGCAGCTCACTCCAGTATTTTTGCCGGGAGAATCCCATAGACAGAAGAGCCCGGTGGGCTACAACCCATGGGGTAGCAAAGAGCTGGACACGACTCATCAAGTAAACAATCACCACAACAGTCCTTAGCCCAGTGCTGACAGGCCTTGGAAATACTTGCATTAAAAATTGGAGCATTTGCCCTTGGTTATACATTGTATAGGAGAAGGCAGTGGCACCCCACTCCAGTACTCTTGCCTGGAAAATCCCATGGACAGAGGAACCTGGTGGGCTGCAGTCCATGGGGTTGCTGAGTCAGACACAACTGAGTGACTTCACTTTCACTTTTCACTTTCATGCATTGGAGAAGGAAATGGCAACCCACTCCAGTGTTCTTGCCTGGAGAGTCCCAGGGACGAGGGGGCCTCGTGGGCTGCCGTCTGTGGGGTTGCACAGAGTCAGACACGACTGAAGCGACTTAGCAGCAGCAGCATACATTGTATAAATAGCAGTTGACCATATCCTGTTCAGAGGCTTTTAATAAAACATTACATTGCATGCATATAAACAAATTAAGAGTTTGAAGAGTTTTCTCATAAATATGCTCTTAGCATTTATCACTATACTACTGTTTTAATTACATCTAGTGCAGAGCTTCAGACTTCAGAACTCTGTTTTACATGCACAGCCATCTTAAAAACAGGTTTGGTTCCAAAAGTTCATTTGTAAGGCAGTTGATGGAAACTTGGGATAAATTTTTCTGTGGAAAAAAATGAAATAAATGGTGGTTTAGTTCCCAAGCAAGCCCACAAAAGCCTTTTAATGCTGATACTATAATAATTGAAACAATACTATTTAGTGGTAAAGCATTATCAGCGTTAATTAAGCCTTCCAAAGCCAGACCCCCATTTATATAGCATTAAAGGTCATTTACTCTTAGTGTTCATGGGACTCATTGAACTCAGTCACTTCTCCTACAATTTTTCTAGTCTGAAAAGCTCTATAAAAGGGATTTTTTTTTTTTTTTTTACTTTTGTGCCTTTAGGATTTCATTTCTTGTGTTATAAATGAGACAATGGTGTGAAAAATGGGAAACTGTGGGCTGGAAGTTGGGAGAGACCTGGGCTCCAGTCTCGGCCCAACAACTGGCTTCCTGAGTAAAGTTGCCCTCAGTGAACTTTGATTTCTCAGGTCCTTCATGGCTATAAAATCCTGTTTTCTCAGTGTAACAGGGAGACATACATACACTGCATTGTTCACACCTGCCCTCCAATAGCAACCTCCAGTTTCTTATTGAAGAATCAGGTGGCATACAAAATAATGAGGAACTCAATAAGTTCCCATGCTTAGTGCTCAACAGTTAATGCCTTCAGTATGAACCTTGACTTTGATCTGCTATCTCTCTTGACCAGTTGAAAGAAATTCTGTCCTAGAACTTGCGGTCCAGATAAGATTCCTGTGTTCCTGGTCAACTTATCTTCCCTTTAATTATGTAAATCGTTTTTTCTTTTTAACTCTTAGGGATAAAAATGGTGACTCTGGTTTGTTGCTTTTGAAATAGACTTACAAGTGCCCTTAGGGAATGGAATGAGTTTGCAGGAGAGAGCAGAGCTGAAGGAGTGTGGGATCAAAAACAATTTTAAATGTTAAATGCAAAGCTATTTTCAGTATCTTGCTGGAAGAAAAAAAAATTTTTTTTCAAGGCTTTAGATGATAGAAGAGGTTTCTGCTCTGAAGGAGAAGAGCCTCGGGTTTTACCATGGTGAAAACTACCCAGGTCTTTACCTACCACCCCTCCCTTCCTCCTCTCCCACCTCTGAGTCTTGTTTTTGGCCTCAAGAACGATATTTGCTATTTGAGAGGTTTGATATTTAAGCAAATGCTAGTCTCAGGGCTCAACTGGGACCTAGGGTATTAGAGGCTTAGAGTTGAGCTGTCTTAGGGTGCAGAGTGCTATATGATGAACTTCCCCAGTAGATTCTAGAATGAAGTGAGCCTCATTAGCAGTGACAGTGCACTTTGAGCACTGCCTCTGCTTAGTTACTTGTGAATGGTATGTTCCATTTTTTTCCTTTTCCCTTGCTTGAAGGCATAGCAAGAGGGGTTGGTACAAGGAGTTGTTGCTCTATGGATTTCACTTAGGAGCTAGAGGGTAGTGTTATACCCAGCCTTCCTCCTTGAATCCTGGAATACTGGCAGGAATTTTGTCTGTTTTGTTCTCTGCTGTATCTCAGCCCCTAAGAAAGTGTCTGCACAAGTAACCACTTGATAAATAGCTGCTGATTGAGTGAGTTCAGCTTGGCAAAACCTGAACTTTCCCACCTTGTCTGATAGTATAGGCTCATGTGCTTGGTCTTGTGAGGTACTTTGAATTTTAGATTTCTCTTTCCTTTTGCTCTCTGTATTTTTCCTATTCTTCAGGGTGACCAGATATCAGTATCTTTTATTGATGATCAGGACTTACCTGGCCGTGGTTGTCCCTGCCCTGCTGATGTTCATCTTTATGTTATCTTTAATTGGCTCCAAAGTACAGCAAATCAATAGCTGAGCCACATCAACTAAAGAAAACTTCCTGCATATTTCTTTGGGTGTAGTACTATGCATTTCTTTATTCAGTTGACAAATATCTGAAGGGCCATACACCAGGCATGATGCTAGACCCAGAGGAAGAACAGAAATAGTTATGGCCAAGGAGCCTGCAGTTTTATCTGCATATAGAGGATAACCTAAGGCCATATACAATGCCAGTAAAGTGGTCTAGATGATCTGTAATTGCTACGGGATTTCAGAGACTAGAGAGCTCTTTTTGAGTTGCTGTGGTAGGGAGGAAGCTTCGTGGAAGTGATCAAATCCAGACTTTTAAGGATGTGTAGAATTGAGATTCACGGAAAAACGTAGCACAGGTGTTTCCAGGGAGTAGGTAGGTGGGAACATAGCATAATCAAAAGCATCGAGGTAGGGATGACCAATTTGTATTCAGGGACACAGACTTGCATGGAATGGAGGGTTTTTCATTTCAGACAATAATAATTACTAACATACCGAGAGTTCTTATGATGTCCTTTGTACTTCATATATATTATCTGATCTAATGCCTACAAAAGCCCATGAAGGAGATGCTATTATTAGCATCATTTAAGAGATGAGGAAATTGAGGCACAGGGTGATCGTCCCAAAGGTCATATAGCTAAGAAGCAGTGGATCCAGGATTAAAAACTAGGCCATGGAGACTCTTGGCCAGTGGAAGCCGCTGTCTCCCACCGTCCTTCAGATGCAGGATTTGGTTGGGAGTTTTAGAATCACAAGCTGTAAGTGGACAAGACTCTAGTCTACTTCATTTTGTAGAAGAAGAAACTCAGCAGGCTTAAATGGCAAGTCACAGTTTACCTAGTGAGGTAGAGAACCAGTGAGGTGGTTTCATTATGATTATGGTTTTTAGTGATGTGAAATCATTCTTCTCGGGTGGCGCTATGGTAAAAAACCCACCTGCCAATGCAGGAGATGTAAGAGACGTGGGTTCGATCCCTGGGTCAGGAAGATCCCCTGGAGGAGGAAATTGCAACCCACTGCAGTATTCTTGCCTGGAGAATACCACAGACAGAAGCACCTGGTGGGTTACAGTCCGTAAGGTCACAAAGCATTGGACACGACTGAAGCAACTTACACGTAAAGCATTAGTCCAGTGTGAGTGTTCCAGTTGGATTGGAGCAGAGGGACTGACTGCAGCAGAGACAGGATAGGAGGCTACTGGCTGAATCCAGACAGAGATTCAGCTGAGTGGAGCCAGAACTGGGAATTAATTGTCAATTATGTTAATCGGCATGGCTGTTTTCAGCTGCCCTTTAGAATTTAGAGTGTGGGGAACATCTGCCTGTGTGAGTGGCTTTCAAGTATGTGAATCTGTAGTGTACTGTGATCATGACACCTTGGTTAATGACTTCTCGAGAAGCAAAGCACCATTATGGAAGTCAGATGTTTAAAAACAAATACCCACATTTGCCAGGAAGGTTCCCTGATTAGAAATGGGATAACCTGCATTCTAGGCTGCTTCCAATACCTAAGCATCAGATTGTTGTTATTTAGTCACTAAGTCATGTCCAACTCTTTTGCAACCCCATGGACTATAGCACTCTTGGCTCCTCTGTCCATGGGATTTCTCAGGCAAGAATACTGCAGAGAGTTGTCATTTCCTTCTCCAGGGGATCTTCCTGACCCAGGAATCAAAACTGCATCTCCTGCATTGGCAGGTGGGTTCTTTACCCATGAGCCATCAGGGAAGCACTGGATAGCCTAAGCCAGAAACTTAATGTCTCTAGCTGTGGCTGATTCCTTATCTGTGGAACAGGTATAAATTTTTATCCAGCCCCTTACAGTGTGGTACTAATGCTGGAGTAAGATAAGAGCAAGAGTTTTGGAAGCTGTAAACTCACTCCCTGGTTGTAGGGAGCAGAAGTTGTGGTTTTAATAGTGAAGGTATACTAGCCTTTCAGGCAGAGCCTGGAGGGCACAGAAGTTCTCCTGCCTCCAGGGTGTGTTTAGGGATGTGGCGCTGTCCACCAGATGGGTGCTGACTAGCCTCACTTTGCTGGGTAAAGCCATATTTTAAAGATAATGGTA